CTCTGCCATCTTTTTGCTCTGCTTTGGGTCCCCCGTTTCCCTCCTGCTCTCATTTTGCTTCTCCCGGTGCTGCTGCTGCGCGGCTCGAATCTGCCACCACGAGGTCTCTGCGGGACAGAGACACCCAGGCACAGTTTTTCCCTTGTGGGTATTCCACACGGACACGGCTCGGGAGAGAGCCAGAACGCTCCGCTGCATCCTCCTCTTAGTGCCGATCGATGGGGTGGCCCAGATGGGGCATAAAGCCATTGTTTACCCCAAATTGCCCCAGAACTGATGTTTCCTGTCCCCAGAGGAACACAAGAGGCCCCCAGCACGCCCCCGCCCCACCAGGCAGGAGCTGCCCCTCGGCCGCCGTTACCTTGCAGCTTGCAGGAGAGCCCCAGCCACTGCTCCAGCCACGCTCTGCACTCCGACATGCCGAGATGAGTGGAGTTCAGGCCACGGAGGTAACAAGCCTGCGGAACAGGGGAGAGGAAAAAAAATACGTTCAAGAACACGTAACGCCGGGCATCGCGCTGCGATCCTTCCTCAGCATGAAGCAGGGCTGAGCAATGGTGAACCGTGCCCCGGTGTGGAAAACGGGCTCAGAAAATGCCTTCCCAGAGGAGAGCGGCCGCAGCCCACCTCGCGGTGGGTCTGGAGGAACGTGCTGTGTCCCGACGCAGCTCTGCGTAGGATGCGGAGGGCCAGGATGATGCAAGCCCGGGGTAAAGCAGCCGGCGCGGGGCCGGAGGAGGTGTCCTCACCGCTTTCAGCTCCTCCTCGGACAGCTGGCCCAAGCCCAGGCGCAGCATGGCACGGTCCAGGTGCCGGATCTCCAAGACGTGGCTTCGCAGGCGATGCCTCAGGAAAAAAGCCGGCAAGTGAGGGGTCAGGAACAGGACCCGGCTCAGGGCTTTCTGAAAGGGAAAAGAAGAGCAGGGTTACCAGTGAGGGCGTTCGACCCCTCCAAAAATGGGTGTCTGACCCACTCAGGCACAACTTTAATCAGACAAAGCCTCTCCTGCCCCAGACATGCCTTGTATTTTGGTCCCCTTTAATTATCTACCTAATTGTTCTGCCCATGCTGAAACCCTGAGCTGCCCCTGGCAGTTCTTGTTACACCCAGCTCGGCTGCCCGGCCCAACGAGCAGAGCAGGGAGTGGGTCTCGAGAAAAACAAGCTCTGTCCTGGGCTGGACACTGGTTTCCAGGGTGAACTGAGGTGTATGGGATGGCTCATGCATGGCTGATGATTCCACCAAGCCAGGGAGCTACAGTAAGAACAGATAAACGATCTCGTTCTGGGGCTGTTTTCATAGAATCACAGAATGGTTTGGGTCGGAAGGGGCCTTTAAAGGCCATCCAGTGCCACCCCCTGCCCTGTGCAGGGCCACCTCCCCCCAGCCCAGGTTGCTCCAAGCCCCGTCCAACCTGGCCTTGAACACCTC